TAATGAAGAGAACCCCCCACCCCAGAAAAAACTTTTTCATTGGTCTCCTTGCTTCCAATATGGCTCAACCTCTATATCTAAGTCTTTCTTTTTATTATTCAGCGGCCAAAGGGATCACGTTACAATCTGAGTCACACCAAGTCATTCCCTCCACCTATAAAACTCCAGTGGCTTCCAGGTTCACTAAAAGAAGGATCTAAACTCTTTTACAAAAGGCCCTGAATGCTCTGGCCTCTGCTTACCACAAAAAACTAGTCCTGTGAGATTCTTCCTCTTGTTTTCTTACTACCTTCCCAGAACTCCTTTCACCGGACTCCCTTCACTGTCTGAATCACACTAACTTACCATCTACCTTAGAATCCTTAAACTTGCTTTTTCCTTGTTTTTTCCTGCCTGAGAACAATTTTTGCTTACCTTTTCCATGTGTGTCCCCCTTAGGGCTCAACTTACAAGATTTTCTTCACCACTGCATCTGAAATAGATCCTTTACTCAGTTAATTCTCTATCTTAGCATATTATTAGATTGTTCCACAGCATTATCTTTAATATTTTGTTATTTGTTTCTTTGTTATTTGTATCTCTCTACACTGCTTAGCTATAAAGTTCACAAGGGCCTGTGTCTGATTCAGAATATCTTTACAACCTCACCTTGTTCCTGATACATAGTGGTCTCAATATCTATTGGTTCAATAAATGAATGCATAAATGATAGTGACAAATCAAAAGAGAATGAAGCTTTCTTTTTCTGTTGCCCTGTGGATTTGTGTTCTTTTTCTCTACATATTTTAAAAAATCTATTCTCTGTAGACATTCAGTTAATAAGGCTAGCACATGGTTAGTGCATTAATGTAATTTTAGGTTAGGATATAGATCATTTGAAAACTTTGCAAGAATATTTTTATTTGTGTGGGAAAATTATTCCAAATTTACCTAAGTGTATATACTCCTCCATACTTGCTTTTCCATTTTAAAATGTTATTAAAGCTTTAGAATAAAAGTTCTCATTTCACTCCTTTGGGGGAAATGTAGTTTTGCTTATTTTAATAACCTATTTAGGAACAAGAACGTATGTTAATGAAAATTTCACCCTTGGTAAACAGAAGGATGTAAGAAAGCTTTAGAAGTGGATGTAGCAACAGACAAGCTGCCTAGTCTATTAGTGGCCTGCTAGTAGTTTTAGAGTTCTTGAGCAATTCATTGGAACTTTTCTCAGCCTCCCCTCTAACATAGGGATGATGCCCACCCTGCTTATCTCTTCGTGTTGTTATGAGAATCTTATTAAACATTGTATGCAAAAAGGTTTCCAAACTGTAGAGGACCCCACTAATGTGAAGTCCCAGCTCTGTTGGCGAGCAACCTTGCAAAACTGACCTAATGGTCTGTTCCCATTTCAGGGAGGTTGTGGAAGATGATCTAAGGCAATTATTGTTAGTTGAAGTATTTATTATTCCAGATCATGTGCCTCAAAAGATTGAAATGTACAAGGGTTGCATAATCCTTCAATAAATGGAAGTGGTGAAGGGCTGGCTTCCTAAGCTATCTCCTGGTGGTTAATACCTTAGCTATGCATTTTTTTTTAAGATTTTATTTATTTATTTATTTGAGAGAGAGAATGAGAGAGAGAGAGAGAGAGCACATGAAAGGGGGGAGGGTCAGAGGGAGAAGCAGACTCCCCGCCGAGCAGGGAGCCCGATGCGGGACTCTATCCCGGGACTCCAGGATCATGACCTGAGCCAAAGGCAGTCGCTTAACCAACTGAGGCACCCAGGCGCCCCTTTAGCTTTGCATTTTTAAGATGGCGTAGAACCGTGTTGAAAGTGGCTATGAGCACAGGGGAATGATTTTCTAGCTCCTTTGTGGAAGGGCTCACTTGTATGCCACTTCTAAAGGTGCAAGCTACTTCAGGATGACAGCAGACTGATTTGTCAGAGTCCAAAAGAACTATACCCTTCAAAAGCCCCAATCTGGCTTCTCTCACCACGCTTCCTTCCTTCTCTTCTCACCTTTTCCCCTTTTCTTCTCCGATGGGAGAACGTGGGAGACAAGGGAGAGGAGACCCTGGAGGGATGAAAAGAAGAGAACGATTTCGGTTCCTTTTACTTCCCTGTTGCAAGCTGTGCCGTGGAGTTAAAAATATGTAATTTAGTTTCCAAATCTATTCCAACCCCTGCCGGCCTACTGAGCAATCACAAACCATCCAATTTCAATTCAAATCTTTGCTTTTAGCTTTATTTTAAATGGAACACAGCTAAGTTGTATAAACAGATATAAAGTAAATGCTCTACAAAGAGCAGAAGTAGGATTAAAGGAACCAGGAAGTAAATCTGTATTTATAGCATACTGGTCAAAATCTGAATTGTTTTCATTTTATTTTTAAAATACCAAACTTTCTACAAAGTATTGAAATGTCAAAGAAGGGACCAAACTTGTGGTATCCAAGAGTCTGTGCTAAGAATGTGTTTTCTTATTATTTTCAGTGATGCTCATTTATAACATCCTGTAAACAGATTGCATGGTTTCTGCAGGTGAGAATTGCTATTCCCCTGTCACATTTGGTATGCTATGCAATTACAGAGAATGACCCATTTCTAAAAAATGAATCAACTTTACCACAAATATTTATGAGCATAGCCCCCAAAAATTGTGTGATATAGTAAATCTTTAATGATAAAGCAACTGCTAACACTTGAAGTGAGGTGAATTCAACGTCCTCCCAAAAAGCTATAAAAGTGTCTCCAGGTGGGTAATGCAGATCACTTGGCAGTGACATGTAGGATGACTAATAATGCCCTTGAGACATTTCAGCAATACTGCAGCTAGCCAAAATCTAGTAATGGCTTACATAGATGGAGTTCATTCATTTTTTTGTCTATATAATATTATGAGAGAGGGTAGTTGGTATAAAAGATGCATCTACAATGGATTCCCTCTTCTTTTTGAGTTATACTTGTATTATAACCACCTGGGCAGATATTATTTTAACTTTCATCATTTAATAATAAAACCATATCATCTCAATTTTTCACCTTAATTTATGTTCAGGTACATCAATTCTCTAATAAATAAACTCGTGTGATTTGATATTTCTGTTATTTTTTTCTTTACTTAAAATGTCATGTTTAAAATAAGTCCTCTTTTATTGATATAATATAGTCTTCAATGATATCACATCATCTGAAATATCCTCCACAGAATTATTTTTTGGATATAAAGTGATGATTTCCCAGTCACTTGTGAAAGATCTTGCATTGATAAATGATTCACTTCTGCAAGGAAACCTCTTTTCAGATTCGCATGAAGGCAAATGCCGTGCTGAGCATCCTACTGCTGGAGAGGCAATGTGAGAAGAACTAGGAGAATCTTTCATCCTTCTCATCCACATTTATCACTGTCAACATGCAAAAACTCAATTAATACCCTCAATGACCCCCTATAACCTTCTCAATAAAATCCAGAAGAAAAGTTGGAATCAGAAGACCTGATTCCAGCCAACCATTAATATGTTATGTGTCCCGGTATAAATGACTTTCCATTTCTAATCTTCGGTGTCCTCATTTGTTAAATGAGCAGAAGCAGACTAATCAGCCTCCAAAAAATCATCCAGTTCCACTCTCTCCTCTAATTCTATTTTACTTCTGATAATTCTTTCAAACCTGAGACCATGTCTAATTCTGTCCTCTTTCACGGGACTGTCCTGCTCCCTTTCCCTTTCTCCATTCTCTCCTCATCCTATCTCCTATACGCTCTCAACAGGAAGCTTAACGTGCCCTGTGCTGCTAATATCATGTGATGCTCGCCACGTAGCATCTGATGTCCTCTCAGTCTTCATGGGTTTGTCTCTTAAATATACAACCTGACCTGGTTTCACATCCTGCCCATGCCACTTACCAACTGTGAACTCGAACTGGTTACTTAACTTCCCAAGCCTCAATTTCTTCATCTGTAAAATGGGGATAGTAAGAGCTTACTCTCAGTAATGGCTATAAAACGCCTGGTATATACGAAAATTCAAATAAGTAAACACAATATTAGTGGTTATTATTGTTACTACTACTACGACTAGAGACTCCTTTAAGATAGAGCCTGCATTTTGTTCAACTCATTTCCCGGTGGATAACTAGCTCAGTGTAGTTGGAAAGAACATGGACTTGGTAGTCAGAAGACCTGAGCTGACACTTGGGGTGAAGTCATGTGTTCTCTCTGAACTGGACTGAGCAGGTGTTTGAGGGTAAGAATTGTATCTTGAGATTCTGCGAACACAGTGCCTAGCACAATGCTTGCCACATAAATTCTCATTATATAAGCAAAGGGAACATGAACATGCAAAAGAGCAACAGTACTGCTAATGGATGTGCCTCTATTATAGTCATTATAAATACTTAAGGAAGAAATAAAGCTGAAACACATCTGACTCCAAAGTCTTAGGAGGGAGGTAAATGCCATCTCCCCAAATAAAATAAAAATTCATCCCACTGTGGAAGAGAACAGGGAAGGACTGGGTTCTCTAGCAGAGCAGGCAGCTTTGTGCCCCAGATTCATGTCCTAGGTAGAACACAGTGTCGAGGTTTTGGCAAAGGGACAGATACCACGTGGGAGGACAAGGGACTTCGGATCAGTTGCCTCAAGTGCAACCTGCTCTGAGCAAAGTGGCCAGGTGCTGGGGAAGTCCACTCTCAGGGAGCAGCTGGGCAACCGAGCCCCAAGTTCCCATTTTCTATTCTTTCCCTCCAACCTCCCCCACCCAGCAGTCAGGTCCCGGAAGGTAATTAGTGTGGGGGAGAGGCAAAGCTTCTGAGTCGGCAGGGAGATGGGAAAGTACTGGTGGGGGCGGTCTTCTTGTCAGAGGTCTCATCAAGGGAGGGGGGAGGGAGAGAGAGAGGGAGAGAGATTGAGAGAGAGATTTTTCATTTTTCCACTCGAAGCATACCTAATGATACACAGACAGGCAGACCGAGAGAGGGACAGACAGGACACACTTGAGCATTTGAAATCGTTCATACCCCCAAATCCAGGACGCAGCCTGTTGTCATAACCATCGAGTAAGCTGTCCAGGATGCGGGTAAAATTTTCCGGGCATAATTTCTCCTCTTTTTGGTTCTGTCCTGGGGATTCGTTTAAACTGCGAACGCAAATAAAATTTTAAAAAAAATAATAATAAATAAATAAAAAACACGGCAGAAGGGGTTGTTTTAAGAATCGATCACAGAACAGGTGGAAACAGGTTTATCTTCTAGGGAAAGAGTCTCTTGCCCCAAGCAGAAGGAAGCAGGTCTGAAGGATGGGGGACAGAGAAATGGTCAGGAAAGGCGCACCCTGTGCACACGCAGCCCAAAACCCATACTCTTCTTGCACCCGGTGCCCCGTCTGCTTTCCGCCTCCACTCGGTCACAGAAAAGCCCAGGTGCGGCCCCTGACCTTACAGCGGAGACAGGGGGGTCTGGTTTGCCCCGGGAGGGGCGGCGGCCGGCGGGGGCCCGGAGCTGGCCACTTCTCCACCCCTGTCCCTCAGGACCCCGGGGAACTCACCAAGCCGCCAGGCACAGGAAGTGCAGGAGGGCGAAACTGACCCGGGAGGACGTAGCGATCGCGGGTACCTTCTTGGCAGAAACCATCTTTGCAACATGCCATACTTTAAGCCTGTTCACGTTTCCAGGCTCTCAAGATGCCCTGAGCAGGGTGCGAGGCGAGGGCAGAGGCTCTCCGCGGCGTGCGCACACTCGCGCTCACACTCGCCCGCGCTCACACTCGCCCGCGCGCAGCCAGCCCGAGCGGCGGTGGGCGCGTGTGTGCACGCGGGCCAGGGGGAGGCGGAACCTGCCTTCCATCGCCCCCTCCTTTTCTCGCTGAGCTCCCAATGTGTATGGAGAGCTATGTATACCGCTCAACACCCTTTCGTGCCCGCACCGTGAGGCTTCCGAGGTTAACATCGGCGCGCTTGCACCGAAAGGCTGAGCAAGTTCTTTCCAACCTTTAACTCTGCCCCCCGCTCCACGACCGCCATCCCCAACCCCAAGTGGGTCCCTGCCCACAGCATTGCTTTGCCTTCACTTTTTTCCCTCCTGACCCCCCTCCTTCCTGCTGGGATTTGGATTTCACCAATGAAGTTCCTCTCTCCTTAGGCTGGTTGTTCGAGGACCTGTTTTGCACCCATTTTCAAGGCTGGAGGTGGAGAAGGAGCTGGATGACTGGAATGGCGGGGCGTGGGGATGGGAAACCGTGGTGAGGACCAGGAATCAAGTATGGACAGAAACAAACTTTGGGACTCTTCCCTTCAGGTGCTTGGGGAGGGGGAAGTGGGGGGGGGGGCGGGAAAACAAAGAAGATTCTTCCCTCCTGAGAGGGGTTGCAATTCACTGGACAGACTGTCCCCAAACTTAGAATGTGGCCTTGAGCTTCATTCTGTACTCAACGCATTTGCTAAGCTGCTGTTGTAAAGATACCAGATTCATTTACTATACTCGTTCCTACCTGGCACACACTCTCAGCTTTGCTGCTGCATCCATTGCTGGAGAGGAGAGGAAAGGGGAAGGTGAGGGACATCTGGTCAAAATCACTTTCTCCTTTTGTGACACTGGATGCTCTTTTATAATAGAGCTCACTGACTTCCAAAGGTTGACCACTTTAGGAAGGAGGAAATGTTGGCTGGGGAGGGGGAGAGGAGAGAGACAGAAGAAAGACAAAATGTGAGGTGTGTTTGGGGGGGGGGGTGGAGAGGGATAGGAAGACAAAATGAAGCGGAACACCTCTTAGTTCACTAATGGATTGAAAGGGAACACTAAACACTACATCTTTAGCATTTTGTTGAACAGAGATAAGCACTTTCAATAGACCTTTTTAAAACGTAAATTATTGGTTTTCTGGGGGAAAGTGTCTTTCACATTAATAGTGATGCATGTGCAAAGTTGCATATGATGGACCAATGACCTAAGTAATTTCCAAAAGTTTCCCTGGAAACTATCACTACCAATAACTATATTCTGTTTAGAACTTCCATGGTTTGTTCAAATTTTGTTGACTGGTGGGCTGATTTGATACGAAAACAATCAAACCAAGGGAATTTTAGAGTTTTGTTTATTTTTATTTGTTTGTTTCAATATCCTGATTAAAATTTTCTTTGCAAAGGGGAAACCTTTCTGATTGCCAAAAGTACATAATAGCAGAGGTATGTACTTCCATGATATTCTATATTGTTTCCTTCATGTCTATTATACTTCACCTTAATCTCATAGGTATCATTCTTCTCTAAAAGATCCTTTGAGGGTCTGGGCTGGATAATTATTATTTATTTGTATTTATTTTTTCTCTTATTATAATACATGGCACATAGTACAAAGATAATAAATATTTATTGAATGAACAATTAAACAAATTAATAATTGCTTACTCCCAGATCCATCCTAATTAATTTGGATGAAATTCAAGCTTACTCTCTTGGGAAAAAAAAAAGTGAAAATATTAGTGTACTCCCGTATATGCCATGAGAGCATTTGTTTTCATAATTCTCCACAGAAAAGCTGATAATACATCATATTATTATTATATCACATTATATTATTTCTCCAGTCTTAATGCTTTCCTATACCTTCTAGAACCCAAATCAGAATTTCCTATTTTTCTTTCAATATCCATTTAAAATATTATATATGTATATATAATATATATCCAAATATCTCCTATATATATATATATATATATATCCAAAAAATAATGGCTTTGGGAAAAGAGGTTTAATTATTGTTAAAGATAAATTATTTTTAAAATTCTAATTTTAAATATGTGAAACTAATACCTTCAAAGGTATAAAAAGAAGATTTCGCCTTTCAGTGTAGCTACTTCCAGTTATATTTTTGTTAACTGATGTATAGTATGTAAGGTCAACTGAAGATAATAGTAGAGATATATCATTTTATTTTATTTCACAGCCTTTCATTTATGTTATGCTTGATATTACTTAAAGAAGTTATATGTTGGAGACACATGAAAAAGTGCTCAACATCGCTCGGCATCAGGGAAATCCAAATCAAAACCTCAATGAGATACCACCACACAGCAGTCAGAATGGCTAAAATTAACAAGTCAGGAAACGACAGATGTTGGTGGGGATGCGGAGAAAAGGGAACCCTCCTATACTGTGGGGGGAATGCAAGCTGGTGCAGCCACTCTGGAAAACAGTATGGCGGTTCCTCAAAAAGTTGAAAATAGAGCTACCATACGATCCAACAATTGCACTACTGGGTATTTACCCCAAAGATACAAATGTAGGGATCCGAAGGGGTACATGCACCCCAATGTTTATAGCAGCAATGTCCACAATAGCCAAACTGTGGAAAGAGCCAAGACATCCATTGACAGATGAATGGATAAAGATGTGGTATATATATATATACATATATATATGTATATATATATACCGGAATATTATGCAGCCATCAAAAGGAATGAAATCTTGCCATTTGCAACAATGTGGATGGAACTGGAGGGTGTTACGCTGAGCGAAATAAGTCAATCAGAGAAAGACATGTATCATATGACCTCACTGATATGAGGAATTCTTAATCTCAGGAAACAAACTGAGGGTTGCTGGAGTGATAGACACGATAGATCGATAGTAAAGAGGGCACGATCTGCATGGAGCACTGGGTGTTATACACAAACAATGAATCATGGACCACTACATCAAAAACTAACGATGTATGGTGGTTAACATAACATAATAATAATAAAAAAAAGAAGTTATATGTTGGGTGTTCCTGTCTGAAATCTTTAAAAAATGTATTTTTGTTACTATGAATTTAAAGTAACTCCAACATAAAAAAATTACAACTTACTGAAGTTACAAATATCATTAAGTATGCTATTATTTTTTATATAAACTTCCATCCATTGTGACTCAGATTGTCAGTGAATTCTTCTGATTGCCTATATATAACTGTGCAGAAATATGAATGTGTTAAAATGATACCTATTATTTCCTTATTTATTTATTCTTATTTTATTATGTTATGTTAATCACCATACATTACATCATTAGTTTTTGATGTAGTGTTCCATGACTCCATTCAGTACATGATCTCTTTAATATCCATCACCAGGCAAACCCATCCCCCCTACCCCCTCCCCTCTAGAACTCTCAGTTTGTTTCTCAGAGTCCATCATCTCTCATGGTTTGTCTCCCCCTCCGATTCCCCCCCTTTATTTTTCCCTTCCTGCTATCTTCTTCTTCTTTTTTTTTAACATATAATGTATTATTTGTTTCAGAGGTACAGATCTGTGATTCAACAGTCTTAGACAATTCACAGCGCTCACCATAGCACATACCCTCCCCAATGTCTATCACCCAGCCACCCCATCCCTCCCACCGCCCACCACTCCAGCAACCCTCAGTTTGTTTTCCTTATTTAAAGTTAATAAAAGTTTCTCATTGCTATGTTTAATAGAGTTTGAATTGGGTTCAAGTGCACAACCCCCAAACATCATTATGTTAAGCCGGCCACATATTATAAATTTATCACAAAGGCTATCTCTGATATGGTGGGATGCAAATAACATAGACTGCCCTACTCCTGAATTCTTAGGATGGGCACTTCAGAGTCCACATGCCTCTGAAATGCCCTAAAAATTAATACAAAACTTTATATTCAGGTAACAATGTGCATTTTTCTGTGAGGCTTTTCATAACTTTCATCAGATTTTCAAAGGCTATGGAGAACTGTAGTACAAGCTAGTGTTTTAATATAAAAGATAACATAGATAATAGAACAGTCAATCAAACAGGTGAAAAACATTTGTAACTAAAGTGTAAAAACATCTCTGTCCTGTTTGATAACCTTATTCATTGCCAGTTTCCATAGACTATTATGTAGATCTTGAACTCCCTTGAAGGCCCTTATTGAAGGCATCTACTGTCAATTTATCAAACATCCAACTAACTTGGTACACAAAAATTGGGGGTAGTAATAAAATGAATTTGAAAGAATTCAACCTGTTTTTGTTTCCAGTAATTATTTCCCTTAATTGTATTTGTGTACGTGTGTGTATTTTCAGTTTCTGAAAAAAAAAAATACTACTATCAAGTGACAGATTTTTTTTTAGCATCTAATAGTAATGATTAGGAGGGAAATTCATAGGTTACCAATAGTGCCCCAAAGTAAACTTGTTAAATTTGCTGCCAAGTGTCTATCTTATGATAAATAATTCTTTTCCCCTCAAACACCCTAAGTTAATTTTCCCACACTGGAGGCTAGAAGTCCAAGATCAAGGTGTCAGCAGGTTGCTTTTTCTGAGGCCTGTCTCCTAGGCTTATTGATGGCATTCTTCTCACTCTGTCTTCTCATGGTTTTTTCTCTGTATGCATGCATGTTTGTGTTCAAGTTTCCTTAAAAGGACACCAGTCCTGGTGGATCAGGGTTCACCCTAAAATCCTCATTTCAACTTAATGACCTTTTAAAAATCCCCATTTCCAAATACAGTCACATTCCAAGGTTCTGGGGGTTATGACTTCCAACTTAAGATTTGGGTTGGGAAGGGAGGCACAATTTAGTGCATAACCCTGGTGATCTTCCCTCAACTATATTTAAAACAAAATTAGAGTAATATACATGCAATGAGTTTT